AATTCGAAGATGAGCATTACCTCCAAATTAGCGGAACCGGCATAGGCACAAAAATGGCCCAAATTATGCCAACATTTTCATCGCGAAATTGGAGGGTCGGTTCCTCGCAGGTCGTCCGATTCAGCCATATTTCTATAAAAGGTATATTGACAATATTTTTATTATATGGACAGGCACAGAGGTTGAACTCAACAGATTTATTTCGGAATACAATTAGGCTCATTTCTCTATTCGGTTCACCCACAACGTATCGCAGCGGGCAATTAGTTTCTTGGACGTTACCGTCGAAATTCAGGATAACAAACTTGCCACTAAACTCTACAGAAAACCCACGGACAGGCAACAATATATTACTAAAATAGTTACCAACCGCGCCACTGCAAAAATAGTTTACCCTATTTTCAGGCGCATAGGTACAAACGAATATGCAGCAACGAGCAAGACTTCAAACAAAATGCAGATATTCTAACGACAGCACCCATTAGGCAAAAATATCCGCCAGGCGTCATCAACAGTGCTATAGAAAACGCTAGTAGACTAGACCGCACGACAGCCATCAACAAAACAAGCGTTCAAAACTCGGTGAATAATCAATATAATTTAGTGCTAACCTACGCAAGTAACGTTCCCAACGTCAACAACATCCTACGCAAAAATTTTAATATTCTCTCACAAAACCAGCGCCTTCAATCTGTCTTTCCGCAGGCTCCACGCGTCGTCTACCGTCGAGGAAAAAGCCTTAAAGACATGCTAGTACGATCCAAAACCACACATGAGGAGTTCCTGGGATCTCGGCCATGCCGGGTGCCGCGGTGCAAAGTGTGTAGCCACATGACGGAATCCGTGGAGGCAAAAAGTACAAATTCGGACTTCACCTTTAGGATAAACGGAAATTATAACTAACTCAGCTAATGTTGTCTATCTGTTGCACTGCCGGGTATGCAACATGCAGTATATTGGACAGACCGATCTCCCCTTCCCTTCCGTCAAAGATTTAACAATCAAAAGTCCCACCTTAACACACTCCCCAAACTCCCGCTCTCCAAACATATACGTCTCGATCAACACCACATAAACAAAATATTTGTAACTATACTTCAATCGGGATTCAGTACAGCACGCGAAAGGGAGCAAAGGGAATCGTACCTATTTAAAAAGGTTAACACGCTTCGAGTGGACATTAACGAGATCGCCGGCCTGCTTAGCTGCTTACATCTTGAACGGTTCACCTCCTCGGAACCCCCACGTTGACGGGAAAACGAACAGACGGAGTTCTCTTCCTAGAGTTCTCCCTGCACTGGACATCATTACGACCTCGAGGAGTGTCTTCGCTCTCGGGTGCGAGATGGCGGGCGATGATAAAAATAAAAATAAGGAAAATGGAAGAAGAGAAAAAAAAAAGAGGGGGGGGGGGGGCATGCTTGCACGTGAGTGTGTGGGTGTGCGGGGGGGGGGGGGGGGGGGGAGGGGGGTGGAGAGTAGTGTTTGGGTGTGTAACATGAACCATTGCGCGTCTCGGTTCGCACCCGAGCTGCTCCTGTGTCTCTGCTGGCTCTTCTTGGCCACCCGGGCGCGCTTTTAGGCCCACTTGATTTTGTTTTATTCCCTTGTCTCGTTCTGGACACTGCCGAGCCCCAACGGCGCCTAGCGGGAGGTTTTCTGGGGATGCATGCGGGGCCCCTTCCGTCGCCGCGGCCTTCGTATACCCATGGTCGTTTCTGAGAGGTTGTTTTTCGCCTCCCCTCAATGTCTTTTCTTTTCGCCGCCGTGTCAAAGTGGTGGGCTTCCAACTTTCACCGCAACATTAGGACCTGATGAAGAGCGGGTTTTAAAGCATTTACCTCCTTTTTACGATATATATATATATATATATATATATATTCCTTTTAATTATTCATTAAGAACACAATTGAGTGCATTCACTATGAACTCAATATATATTTTGAATTTACTCATTAAGAATGCAGTAGAGGTTGCTCATTATGAATTCAATATCCTTTCATTTGAATTTACTCATTAGATATGCAAATGAGTTTTAATATCAAGAACTCAATGTCGATTATATTGAATTTACTTATTACATTTGTAAGTGAGTTTCATTACTGAAAGCTCAATATTGGTTATTTCAAGTTCACTCGTTAGATGTATAAATGATTTTTGTCATTCAATATTTAGAGCTTAGTCACTGGACATGCACTTCAGTTTTATTACTTGACAGACTTTTTTCGTCTCATTTTCTTCTCGTTAATCGAGTTTTTGTCATTCAGTAGTTGACATCAGTTGGTTTGTGCCCTTCGCTGTTGAGCAACGCAGCCAGGGCACAGCTGCAAATAACCATGAGTACACGTATGTCTCTCAGGATAAACATATTTGCTCGGATTCATTTGTGCAAGAAAGGAAATCAAAAACCTTTGACACCTTTGAGAGTATACCGCGTAGTAACTCTAGGGTTACTGACAAGGTGAGAACAACAGGGAGGAGCTTTACTTATCTTCCCTCAAGCTTGAGTCTCCCCCTCAAAAACTCTTCAACGTCTCACGCGCATCAAGCACGCGCAAGCTTTCAAAGCATGGCGGAAGGCATGGAGCGCGTGGTGAAGGCCGGGTGTTTGTAAAAAAAGAAGGGATAAAATATTTTAAAGCGAGCAGCTACCGTGCCTCGTCTTGTCTTGAGTGCTGCTATGAAGAGAAACGATAACATACTGGCTAGGAATCGCTTTTGTTGATTCAGCGACTGCACCGAACGATTATCGCTTGTACCAGTGTTTTTTAGGAAGGGATGAATGAGGTCCAACGAAATCGAAGCACTTTTTATTCTCTATCTTACTTCCAACGAGGGGATAGCATACTAGGAATTTTAATAAATGCTCAAGTGGTCACCGGCCAAATGAATACCTTTCATATGTAGTCAAGGGGAATGCGATTAGTGTGTTGTGAGCGCTTTATAGTGTTTGTGTTAGTTTCCTCCATGTTCCATTTTTTAAGGATATATAACATAAATATTCCTAACAAGTTGGAGGATCCTTTTTTTTTTAAATGCAGTTGCAAAACATTTGTTGAAACGCAGTTGCGAAAATTCGATTGAAACTTAGTTGCAAAAAAATCAATTCATACTCAATTGCAAAAATTTGATTGGAACACTTATGCCAAGAATTCAGTTGAAATGCGATTGCTAAAATTTAAATAAAAGTTGGTGGCCAATATCTTGTGACGGTTCAATATGGACTCAAAACGAAAACCCTATTGTGTTTCAGTTAAGACTGAACGTGGTGTATTGAGTGAATAATTTACAATTTCAATTGAAACTCGTTTCATATTTTTGTAAGAGTAACATCTGGGGCTCATCATACGCGTGGCAACAGTGGAAAACAGTGGCCAACAGTACGAAGCTGCTCTGCCGCTGCAGAGCCCAAAGGTCCTGAGTTCAATCCCCACCCCTTTCCTTTTCGATATGGATGAGCATCGTGCCGGCGTATGGTCGTGTATCAATACTGCATGGTGCACATTAAGGACCCCAGGGGCGCTTGTACTGCACTGGCTAAAGTGTCCATCTACAGCTGAGACATAAGTCGCCCGTTGAAGCAGACTAATTTCGGGTTGTATAAACATGCACGTAACACCAAGGCGGCTCTGCCTTATAAATATGTCTTTCAGGGAGGGGGACAGCTGAAAGAAGTGTGTCCCGCATGAAATTCCAGCCTGGAACACGATGGGTCGTCAAGCCGGCAAGGAGAGTTCCAGTCGTCCTTCAGGACAAAGTGAAAGCTGAGCTAGAACGTACAGTAGCAGTGATAAGGCTGTCGTCAAAGTATCTGAACAGACTGGACTGGCAAGTGATATGGTCGTTGTCGCCAAAAAAAAAGAAAAAGCAAGAATATGCCTGGATCTATTTGACCTTCTCAGAGAACACTATCCAATGCCGACGTTGGAAATTGTTGCGCAGAGTATCAGCGGAGATAGATATTTTTCGACACTTGACACTGCCTCTGGATTTTGGTTCAGATGCCTTTTGTCATAAGAACGAAACCTTAAATATTTCAACGGGCCATGCACAAAGTGCTTAATATATTACAAGGTACTAGATCGCTGTAACGACCAGAATCTGAGACTCAACAGGAAGAAGTGCCAGTTTTTGTAGAAACAATTCCAATACCTATACTTATGCGGTTTGTGCAGGTGAACTATACGGCCAGGAGGACATTATTTGGGTGGCTAAGCTTTGTGATAAGTCGGCCCATTATTTAAATTCGTTGATTAAAGTTTTAATTAGTGAAAATAGACATGTGGTTCCAATTAGAAAGTTGCTCAGTGTCATCGAAAACCACTAAATCAGTAATTTTCGGAAAGACCTTGAGCGTATGAGAAGCGTAGTAGTGCCCTAAAGTTACCACTTGTGGAGCAGGTACAAGGCTAGCGGTTTGCGGTATGGCGCCGGCGCGATTTTTGCTTCTCTTATCTAGCCCCAGTCTTGTACCTGCTCCACGAGTGGTAACTTTAGTGCACTACTACGCTTTTCACGCCCTCAGTCTTTTTGAAAATTACTGTGGTAGTGGTTTTCGATGAAGCTCAGCAAGTTTCTAAATGAAACCATATGTTTATTTTCATTAATAAGCCCCCTATACTATGTCCTCCTGGCCGTATAACTCACCTGCTCGAACCGCCAAAGTGTAACTTTCACCATTTTTTAGGAAAAATTAAATAATATTCTGCTGAAAACCGCGAGCTTGTGTTGAGCTTTAGACTGTCGATCAAAGGCGCTTAAGTACCTCGCTGTCGGTGCTGCCGGGGGCAACATCATTAGGTCTCCTACGGAAGAAATGGTTGGGTTCACTACACGACAGGTTTCTGCTGAACGTCTTGGTTGCTGCTCCGAACAACAGTCACAAATACTATTTACGCTCTCTCTCGCTCGGAGCCAAAAGATTATGGTGTGACTATATAGGAAGCGCTGATCATACATGAGCTAGGACAGCCAAAGGGGAAATGTGTGACGCAACTCACCCATGAGCGCCAGCGTCCTGTCAATCTCCTCTCTCAGTATTTCGAGCATCTGGTTGATGCCGGCTTCGCCCTGGAAAGAAGTGTGTGAGCCATGGGGTTCCGAAATAACCTTCCAATTGCACTAGCGTTAAAAACATTATTTCGAAACCATATTTTCACGCGGGTAACATTTTCAGCAACGATATTGATAACATTATATCTTCCAAAATAATAATAACCCGAGACTGGAAAAACAAATGCACAACCACACTCAACCTTCGCAAGACGTCATCAACGCAGCTTTTTTGGAAACGCGTAGAGTTCGTTGTAATTGGTTCCTCGCTTTTTTCATCTTTTTTTAGCTACTGTTTTCAGTCTCGCGTTATTATTATGATGGTGTTCATCAGCTTCCCTGTGTATTTGTCCTTTGATCGATTTCATTTTTCGTGTTTCTTTATCCCTTACTTTTTTACGTGAATGGATCGCTCACATGAACCTGGCCATCGGGGCATCTCACGGTCCCTAATAACGGGTTTCTATTTACTTTTTGAAGGTGCGGGATTATGAAGCGCGGAATGATTTTCTCCACAGTTCGTGGACTTGCTCCTGCGGACACAGCACGGTGTTTGGTATTGACAGGATAAAAAATATTCGAACTGCATCAACCCTACACTCTAAAAAAAATCTCTAGCACCTCCTCTCCCTGAAAGCGCTTAAAAGAGTCAATCCCTGCAATAGTTCTTTTCAGTTCTTTGGTTTCTTTTTTCAGCATTAAAGGACTGCCATTAAAACGTTTATGGTGGTAGAAAGTGGTATATTTTTGGGTGCCTGCCAGGACCCCTCAGAAGTAAACCGCGAAACAGCGCCAAAGTCGTGTTCGCACTAACAGTGCCGCGCAGTGTACATGCCCTTCTCCCACGCGGCAGATGTGAGCCGCTAAAACTGATATTGTGCGGCCTCACCGAGATGCCTAGCCACTAAAATACGTGCAGTGACAAATTCAGACAAGGCCTGCTTTGGGTACAAAAACACTGCGCCGTTCAAAAAGATAGCTGAATTCCCGTTATCTAATTTTCGCCTCGTAAACATGATTTTTTTAATACAGAATATATAAATATGTTCATATTTATTCAAAATGGTGATTCAAAATTTTCGACTTCGAGCGGTCCCCGCTCGAAGCGTCGTAATAAACTTCGTATCAGTAACTCCATCAGTACTCATTTTTGACTTATTCACTTTTCCCGGTCCATTGTTTTATATTTAGCTAACTTCACCTATATATATATATATCTATAGAGTCGCGTTATTACTTGGGGAATGTGCGAGGGCAGTTTATTTCTGTCTCATTTTCATAATGCGGGGTAATACTAACACGCCAAGAAAAAGCTAATGAGCAGGAGTTAAACGTCCAGAAAGACAATCATTGAGATTTAACTCTTAGACTATAGGACGGTGACAGGCGAGTCAGCGTCCTACCTTGTACGCCAGTCCCCAGATGGCGGGGCGACCGACGAAGACGACCTTGGCCCCGAGTGCCAGGGCCTTGATGACGTCCGTGCCGCGACGGATGCCGCCATCCACGTAGACTTCGATGCGGCCTCGGACTGCGGCAACGACGCCGGGGAGGACCTCCACCTGACGTCGGAAAATGATTGAGACCTTAAATGGTAACTGAAACCTAGATGCCCCATATTGACGAAAGCACTCTGTGTAATTCATGGATCACTGTTACTATGTAATTAAAAAAAAAGTATCTATATGTAAGCTCAAATATTTTGCTGTGCTGTTAGCATTCATAACCAAACCATTATTTAAAAAAAAAGCCATATCATAGTTGGTTTATGTTACCACAGTCTATCATTAGGCGATTGTTCGTACCTGTGGGCTGAATACATATTTTTAAAGGGGTAGTGGGCTGGGCTATTTGGTAAGCATTAAATATGGTTAAAATTGGCGAAAGAGGTAGGAAACTGCAGAAGAATACAGGAGACAGTACAGACGTTAACTCTTAACTCAATATTTCATCGAGAAGAGAAGAACAAGAAATATTAAATATTTTCCCACGCGCGTCGCCGGGCGAGCCCGGGCGTGGCCGAATGGTTAACGTGGTTGGCTGTCGCGCAGATGATCCAGGTTCGATTCCAGTGTGCGTGCAATGTTCTCTTATTTATTCTTTCAGCTTTGCGTTCTCGTGAGTTCGAGAACCATCTTGCCTGATCGAGTTACGAATGTCCTATGCGCCGAACTTTCTAGGCAGAATGTTCCAAAAACTCACGAAACTAGAAAAGGCGCTCCGCGTGGCGAGCTGGAGGCAGTCTTGCCCCAGCGTTCGACCCTGCTGTTACGCCGACTTCGACGCCCGTGACGCTCTGTTGTTATTTTCTGATTTCTTTTTTTTTTTTGGGGGGGGTGGGGCACAATTAAGTTTGCCTTAATAAACATTACAGTTTCCTCAGTTATTCTTTGTTTCGTCACCTCGTGATTCTTGACAATATGAGACAGGTACCTGCTCATGGTGCAAGAACTCAAGGGTGCGAGGCGAGGACTTCAGCTCATAGAAGCGTTTAAAAACGTCACTTCTTGTTCAAATAGTGCTGCTGAAGGCTTGCTCGCACAACGCTCCCCCGAACCTTGTATAAGAAATGCCTCGTAAATTTCTCTGGAAAGTGTTTTCTTATGTCGACCGATGATAGTGGTACTAGCGGGAGTTGGATTGCAAGAACAAGCTTGACAGTGCACAGGTAGATCACCCCCACTGCTGATCTAAAAGACAGGTTAAGCTCTCGTAGCGTATCACTGATATACCGTCCAGTCTGTTCTACATACATTCCACCACACGTTAAAGGGATGCAGTACATTATGCACGAAGTACAGGGCACAAAATTGGGGGGCATGTGTCTTTTTACGTTTTTGTCGGAAAACTTTGTCTAAATAATGTATGTGCACCTTGAAACAGCTTTGTGTAATTTTTTGAGGTGCTGAACATCCAACTAGAGCTTCCTTTTCTTGGGCTACTTGTTTTAAGTTATGGGATAGCTTGTGCGAGTAAGGAACCACTACCACACTATTTTCTCAGCCATGCGCGTATTACTTTTCTCTCCTTTTACTTTTTTAAACTAAGAACCGCACGACCTCGTTAAACACCTGCCAGGAGAACCCGGATGACCGGAGTCTCTCAATGTGAGCCTTGAAGCTGTCATTAATGCGATGTAAACATCACTTTTTTGGAACTGATCCAAGACATCAGAGAGCTGTAGCTCTCAACAATTTTAGAGTGTGCTGACGAGTATTGAATATCCTTTCTTGAAGGCGGGGAAAGGGTCCAGCATAAATGGTCAACGTCTGCTAGTTGTTAGCCGAAAAAACAAAAAAAAAAATAAAAAAAAAAAAAAACTCTTGGAACAGTTTCCTCTCCCTTTTCAGGATGGCAGAGCACTAATTAATATAAAGCCGGTCGATTTTCGACAGGCCAAGAAAATGCCTAGTAGCCATTGCTACCATTAGCAGACGACGTCGCAGCTCGTCTTGACGCCGCTGCTCCCTCTGCTCGAAAATAGACGAACTTCCGGAGGTATGTTTATCCAATCTATCCTCCAGTCACAACTCAGTGCCCTGGGGTCACTGTATCCTCTGCGCAAAGAGGAGACTGACTTGCTTGCAGTATGCATTGATTCGTGATTTTTTTTCGCATAAGCATCATCTCATTATGTTTCTTGTTTACTTGGTCACAAATGTGAATTCCTACACGCATGCAGACTACAGGCTACCGGGCTCTCTGTGATGCCTCGTGTAGCCGGACGAAACATATAATTACACAAATAAACCAGGGTGTCGAACCGGAACCGAACCGAACCGAAAACCGGAACCGAACCGGTATTTTTTCCGGAACTGAACCCGAACCCGAACCGTTATATTGTTATCGTGATGAACCCGAACCGGAACAAAAATAACGGTTACCGGCTCATGTCAAAACGGTTCGGCTACGCGCTGTTGACAATGAATGTGCTATCAATGCCATTTGTTTTTTAAGTGCCGTCAACTGACACACACCTCGCTTACATATTTTTCTTCTCCACTCAGTCTTAGGAATATAAACGCTGCATCCATGAATCGTGATAAACGCTGCATCCATGAATCTTGACATAGGAACCAGTATTGCGCTGGTCGCGGCTTCCACAAAAAAAAAAAAAAAAGAGGCTGTGAAAAAAAAAAAAAAAATCGCGTCACGGGAGTTTATTTTCCTACAATCTCGTAAATCCTAAATGCTGCTGTGTGCTCATTTCATAACACGTTTCTAGAACGCGCGAGTTCTTGAAGCTTGCTTCCATCGGAATGGGAAAAGAAAAGGCTGTGGAGTATGATAATAATGCATCCGGTTTCGTATAGGCACTTAGAAGCTAACATATTTGTGGGATAGCGAACTCTTCTATTTTAACATTTATCCTATTACGTCCTTCTGGCGTTGCGTTCGGTGAAGTGTTTTTCATATTCCGTATCTTGTTTAATGAAAACTTCTTTAAGGGTCTAATTTGAGTTACCGAAGGCTAGTTCAAATAAAGAAAGCTGTATTTTCTCCCCACTGTTCCTTCAATTGCTTACACGCCGAGGTGGCGGGATAGTTAGCGAGTTCTACTTGTAAGTGGGTTTGTAAGGAGGTCGCAAATTTTACAGCTACTGCGTCGGACCCAATTAGATGAAGTCCGAATGCGTAAACGTCGGTGAGGTAACCTTTGAGTGCACATAAAGAAACCATTCCTGGTAGAAATCCCTGAGCCTTACACTACGATGTATCCCGTTTCGTATGTGCTGATTTCAGATGTTTTATTTGTAATTTATTTTGATGTTGCAACTTGTCATTTATAATTTCCGAACCGGTTCGCGAACCGGTTCAGCGCCCTAAAACGGTTCGCGAACCGGTTCGCGGATCGAATGGACCTCTTCCAAAACCGATGCGCCCCATCGCGGCAAAATACCACACAGTGCACTCTAGGAACTAGTTGGCCACTGCTGTTTCGGTTTCGACTGAGCAGCTCCATCTCATGCTATCGCGCCGCGACCGAACGCGCTGCTTGCGTTTTCGATTATCTTACTTTTCACGAACGTAGAATACACTCATTCTCGAGCGATACAAAACGAAGACCGGGGCACTTTCCTTCCTTCCCGAAACACCAGATATTATAAGTGCGTATGAACGTAGTAAGACGAGTCACCTTACCTTTGAGTTCAATTTCAATAATCCCGTCTAGTACCAATGAACTACAACTGAAATTGGATCACCTGGAGCCTTACACGTATTTTGTTTGCCAAACGTCCGCTTCTTGTTACTTCATTAGTCGAAGAGCAAGCCGCATCCTCACAGGAGTATCAAAGTTGAGTCCAGCTGTGACGCATGAACTTTTAAGGAAACGCAATAAATTCGACCTCACTACTGCACCAAAGTTACTATGATGTCTTTCTCGTGTCATCATATATTTCCCGTTCAAATTTTATACTGATAGAAGATTAAGTTTTCGCAAACGCTGAGATCGGCTAGCTACGACGGAGGCCCTAACAAGCGTCCCCTACTCCTCGCTAAGCCTTTTTGGACGAGCTTTTACTGACGCCGAAGATATGTGCCTGAACGGTGTGTCTGAAAGTATCTCGGCATACTCAGGCAGAAAGAAAGCAAACACATAACAAATATTATGGCCATTAGCAACCGTCAAATGCACTTTGAATAATTTCGTTCGTTTGGCGCACCGCATAGGGGCTCATGCCCGTCCGGCGTACTTCTGGCGAACGGTGCGACATTTTTCACAAAGGTACTCCACTTTTGCTTTCTTAAAACGGTTTATGTGTGCGAATGTGCCTATACGATTGGCAGGATAACGTTATGCGCATACGCGATGTTGAATATTAGTAAAATGCAAGTGGGTAGGGACTTCGCTTCGTGCAGTGCTGCGGGTCAGTACAAATAAGAGATAAGAAGTGTGCTATAATTGAGCTTTTTAATGGCGCCTCCGAGTTTTACATTGCGTACTCAGGCGTATTAAGAAAACAGTAATTGCAGAACGTAATATTTCGTCTATGGGTGTACGAAACCAACAAACTTCCTGATCGACAGAGAACCCTGACGTAAAGGCGCGAGCTCGATGTATGCATACTTATAGGTTGCTGCAGATTGTTGATCCATACATAAGCAAAATCCTCGAGCTTCGCAGCGTCGACATTCGCAGCACTGGCTCGTCCACATACCTCGAAACGTCAACAGAAAGGCTCAAGTACAAAATACAACAAGCATGCGTTAAGACAAGCTATACGTCTCGGGCTTATGCTAAAGCTTCGAGCTCTGGCCATTTGGGTTAGTTTAGAGACCACAAATGACGCTCTCGGGACCAAAAAACATGAGATAACGGCCGTTAATAGTCCACGCTCTTTGTGTAATTTCTTGTCGACGTGTCGATCGAAACCGAAACCATGCCACTCTCCTCCCTGGCCAACTAGTTCCCAGAGTGCAGCGCGCGCCGTGTTGCATGCAGGGCTTTATGGAAGTAGTCTATTAATCGAACCGGAACTGAACCGGAACAAAGTAAATTTACCTGAACCTGAACCGTAACCGAACCCGTATTTTTTTTCGGTTCGACACACTGAAATAAACATACCGTTGCTGGCACACCATCGAGCTGCCGGCCACCATGATTGGATACAAGTATTGCGGAAACGCCACGACTGATGGCCTCCTCTGCGTCTTCGGCTGGAAGAGAAGGAAGGCGTGGCAAAAACCTAGTGACTAGCTGTTGGAGAGTAATTTGGGTTCAATAATAACACATACAACGGCAAGATAAGTATAACTTATTTGAAAGGGTATCACAATGAATTAATACTGTCACGTCTCATTATTGGGACTACGCTAATTTGGATACACCACTATATAGACCACATTGCCAGAGACGAACAGGGCAAAGGCATTCATATTTATCTCGTTAATGTGGACAACTCACATTATGGAGGCTTTTTTGGGGAACAGAGATGTTAACTAGACATCACTGTATACACTTACGGCATAAATGTTTCTTATTGTGTAGTCATTTATTTATTTACCTTTTGCGGTTCCTCTATACAGCCGCGAGCATAGAGAAAATGCACCTATTGGCAAGAGCGTGCGTTGCGGCAGGAATGTAAAATACAAAAAACGGTAGATGTAAACTAAAAATATTTCAGAAAAGGCTCGAGGTACACTAAGCACTTGTGAGTTGCGAATGCGAAAGCATGCACGCCGTTCTTCCGCTCTTTTCTGTTGTCTGCTTCATACTTCCACCGACGGTCGAGCGTGCGCTGACCTTGGGCGTGGAGCCGCTGCCTCGCGGACACGCAGCGCCATGGGGTGGCGGTCGTTTAAAATGACGCGCAGCGGCCAGTGGGAGCCTCGTCGACGCGCGCCGGCCAATGGGACCTTAGCCAAAATCCATCAGCTTCACTCTGTTCCTTTGGGATCGGGGAAACTAGGTGCCGTTTGCTTTTCACGTGGTTTTTTCATAGCTGGGAGCTGGCTTCACTCGAAGAAAAGATTTAAGGTGCCGTTTTGTGCGCTTCAAACTGATGACGTCGGCTCTCTCCATGGGAAAGATAATGCTTTCGCATTCAAATAAAGTAGTACATAAGGACAATCTAGCTAATACATAAACAGATTTGAATATAGCACATGAAAAAATATGATCATCATGGTGCAAAAATAATGTATTTTTTTTTCACGCGAGTACAGCTTTGCGATGCTCTGAAGATTATCATATCTCCCCAAAGCACGACTTGGGGCCTTTCAGTAAAGAAAGACATAAAATCTCGTGGTCCCTGTGATGCTACCGTATTTTATGTCCTCCCTTATTAGGGTAACCCGACCCACCTTCTGAACAGTGGACAGCAACTCCGCGAGAACAATCCCCAACAAATCGGAGTGAGTTTAAAACACAAGAAAAAAATTAAAAGAAATTTTCACTAGAATATTTTCTGTATTTATTTAGCCAGAGATGGTATACATGTTTAACGTTGCCAAAGAAATGTAATATTTGCTCCTAGCTGGCTATGTACTTTTCATAGCATGTGAAACAAATGTCCAACACCGTGGGATGGGTCTGCGGCCCATCCCACGGCGTCTGAGGTGACTATGTCAGACTGTTATTTTGTTGTTTTTGACCTATTAATAAATGTAATTAAATTTCTAGCACCAAATAAAAAGAACGTATACTGACAGAACACGGAGTTAGAGCTGATATTGTAAAAATCGCGAGTAAAACAGAGTACTTGCATTCTTAGCTGCACCTTTCGTGAGGTGTTGCGTTTCTCGTCGGAAGTTCGTCACCAGGACCATAGTGCGGCCATCCTAAAGTTCAACTACTCCTCTTGCGACGCCTATTCCTCTTCCCAGGAGCAATTGAAGGTTACCTTCCAAAACAACTTCGCCGCAGGTAGCTGCATCGCTAACGAAGGATATGACAACACTTGATCGCGGCAGCAGGTTCACGTGGTCGGCAGCGACTCTGACGGCGGGTGACCCAGTTTGGGGTTCCTGTGAACGTGGAACAGGTGTCCGCAGAGTCAATCTGTTTTCTCCAAGGTCGATGACGGCGCCATATTTAGAGAGGAAGTCCATGCCGAGAATGACATCTCTGGAACAGTCCTGTAGAACGACAAAGTTCACAGGACACGTCTCGCCGTGAATTTCGACGTGAGCAGTGCACCTTCAGACAGGCGTAATCTGGTGGCCTCCAGCGGTTGATATCTGCGGCCCATCCCACGACGTCATCACTTTTCGAAGGCGGCGAGGGAGCCCCCCCACTCAAGACTGAGTAGTCTGCTCCGGTGTCCAGTTGTTTGCAGTGATGTGATTGGCCTAAGCCATTTTGGAGCACCTTTTGGAGCAGCCAAAACAGTGTTTTGGAGCAGCAAAAGTGGCCTTTGGAGCAGCCAGGATAGTGTTTTGGAGCAGCAAAAGTGGCTTTTGGAGCAGCCAAAACAGTGTTTCGGAGCAGAAAAAGTGGCTTTTGGAGGAAATATTCTTACAATAAGTGCTGGACAAACGAAGGGCACTTTGTGCTGTGTTATGACGGAACTCGCTGTTTCTGTTTTTACTGCCGAGACATCCCACAAGTGTACAGTTTTGTAGGCGTTGCCGAGAAATTTAGAAAAGAACGCTCGCCACCGTTTTACTGGTTCCTGGTTCCTGACGTGCCAGATTTTCGTTAAAAGTAAGCGAACACAAAACAATGGATCGCAAGCGCCCCGGCTGGTGCTCTGTCGTGCCGTCATGTTCACATGCACTTGAGGGCAACTTCAGCAAGCTTGCAGTGGCACGTGCTTTGTCGCGCGAGCAGAGACAACGGCTGTTCATTCGAAACCGAAACAATGCCACTCCGCTCCGTCGCCAACTGAATCCCAAAATAGTGTGCAAAATACAACTGTCCAGCATTCAACAACAACAACAACAAAAAAATAAAACAGTCCAGCGGCGCGTGCTTGCCAGGCCGGCAAACGAGGTGCAAGCTAAATAGAAAGAAAAACAGAACCTAAGCGCATCGATGCATGACATCGTGAGCCAGGGCCAAAAGTTTTTTGGAGCGCTCTGAGCAAGGACTGAAGTCGAGACAAACAAGCGCGCTGTGTGGGTTCAGCGTGCAGACATTGCCTTCTTTGCTTCAGCTCACTTCTCCTCACCAACGTTTTTTTGGCGGCAGATTTTTCACGTAGCGGGGTCTCTCTCGAAAGATAGCCCGCCGAGAGAAATCTAGGTAATAAATATTTTGACGAGCAGTCTTTGAGTTAAAGAGGGATTTTTTAGAAGAAGAGGAATGTCGATGAACAAGTTTAGAAACGCCATATCTGTAGCGACGTGGGGACGGCAACACCCGACGTCGCAAGACCACGGTGACCCAGTGGTCGCGCGAGCGTTTCAGCTCACAAAGTAACTCTCGCCGCGCAAAAACGTGGTTTTGTTTCACAGCATGATGGCATAGCTGGCACCCGGCACACTAGCGACGGAGCGTCCGCACATTCCCGCGAAAAAAAATTGAAAAAGAAGACGCGAGATGAGATTCCCGTGACGGCGAGGGCGCGAAACGCGAGACGGCGGCAAAAACCATGCAAGACCGGATGGAAAATTGATGCCGGGTACTTTGTGTCGGGCGGCCGCTTGCGCCACCTATAGCTCACGCATGCTCAATTACGGTTCTCAGTTTAGTTTCGGTTTTGAAAGGCGACCGAAATTGGACCTTTGGCGCAGGCTTGGCGCAGATTAGCCATATATTGGCAAAATGTAGCAAGATGTAGCAGGGTTAGCCCCTTGGCGCAGTTTGGCGCAATTGGCGCAGCAATCACATCACTGTGTTTGGCACAGTTCCCGGAGCTTCATTGCAATGCGTGGCGTCAGGAGAGTGGGAGCGCTCCGGTGTTCGTAGAGGCTCTTTACGTCGTCCGTCATCGGTAGCTTCACTTCCGGGAGTTGCCGCGCTTAGTTTTCCCTGCGGGAAATGGGAGACAGGCTGTCACGGCGCGACCGAGAGAAGGGCGACGCGAAACGTCGGAGGAATGGAAAACGGGACCCACACGAAAATGTCAGACCGGAGCGGTTCCAGTTCGGGTCCGCGGGGTTCTAAACTTGTGGACAGTTCCGATCCGCACGATTCTGGTTGTAACCAGTCGGATCCAGTGAGACGCAACGCATTGGAATCGCACGGGCTATCCGCAGCGGGCTATCCGCAGCGGGGAGCATCTTGCGGAGCTCTTCCCAGACGACTTCACGGGTGATGTCGCGAATGCTGGGGATGCTAGGGCTAATGTCGTAGCCCAGTGCAGAAGCAATGATGCTCGAGTGCTGATGGTAGTGGCTGGCTCTTGTGAGGGGGGCACGTTCTATGTTTGTGGCTTCCTTGACGAAATTTTTGACGGTGGATATCGGGTTGCGAACAAGACCACCGAATATGTCATCCTTTACACCTCGCATCAGGATCCGCAGCTTCATTTCGTCGGTGGCTTAAGGGTCGGCGCGAGCGACCAGGCGCAGAGCACCCTCGACGAAGCTGGTGATAGTCTCGTTTGCGCCCTGGGTCCTCATTCGAAGAAGGTCCTCGGCCCTTTTTCGTTGATATTGGCTGTGAATGTCTGTCTCAGCGCGTACTTGCAGTCGGTCCACGAGATCAAAGAAGTCTTGCGATTCTCGAACCAGTGCCTGGCCGTTCCTTCGAGGAGCGCGAAGTAAAAACTCTGCAGGCGCTGTTCGTCCGTCCATCGGTTGTGCTGGGCCACTCGCTCGTACTGCTGTAGCGAGTCCTTGATGTCTTCATAAGACACCATGAAAGGACGCGGGCGTTCGGGCAGCGACGGCTAGGACAACGACGGGCGGGTCGGTCATGATTGGGATCTTCTTCTTCCGGTTCTCGGACAAGAGACCAAGTCGACGGCTTGTTCGGGCTATGAAGTCTTCGGCGAAGGGTAGCCTTCCGGGGCTGAGCACGTCGCTTGGCCTGGGTGCATTTGGAGGGGCACGCTTTACGGGCATAGAATGCAATACCCCGCACCTCCACTAAAATGTCACGAATGACAAGTGATGAGGCGACGAAAACTGAAACAAACTAAACGTTTAATAGGGCGAACTTATGCCCAAAATAAAATAAGAAAACGGAAGATAACAATACAGCGTCGTTGGCGTCGATAGCAGCGTAACAGCGGGATCGAACGCTGGGGCAAGACTGACTCCGCTCGCCA